AATAATAATAATAATAATAATAATAATTAAAGAAGATACAGATAAGTTTGAATTCATTCTCAGGAAAATCTGCAGGGAACTTGTGAAAGTTAAAGCAATATTTAGCATGTGATTAGATAAGACTATTTCTCCAGATATAAATAATGTGATTTTAAACAGAAGGCATAAACCAGCAGTGGCGTACTGTCCTTAAACCCTGGAAACAACTCTGAGCTGGGCTGGGTAAGGGCAACTAGGGCTGAAGCAGGAGAACGCCAATCCTGCTGCGGCACGGAGGAGGATTTGCTAAGTCAATCCTATCAGTAAAAACGGCACGCTTTAATTTAGAGGAATCTTCCTGGCACCAAAGGAGGAGCTCCCTTCTCCCTGGGAGAGCAAGTTGCTTCCAGACTCCCATTCTGGAGAGAAAGGAAAGGGACAAATTTCCACAAGCAGCGCGATGAACAGCTCCTGAGGACAGATGCAAAGCGCAGCCTGAATCTGTCAATCTGGCAGCAGCTTCTTCCCCACAGGAGCCCGCGAGTCTGTCCCCACCACCTTGCTCCAGGGCACCAGCGCGCTGCCCAAGCCAGCCAGGATTACTCTCCCCTGGAGCTCAGGAGCGAGCCTCCTGCCAATGGGAGCCCACGGGAGGAAAAGAAAGCATAGAAAATTCACTTGTTTAGACCTCGGTGCCAAAGTACTATATCTGGCTGTCACAAGGCCTCTTAAAGCATTTTGCTGTTTAAAACAAAGGAGCGAATTAAAAGGACTCTTAGTGAGAACTTGCATGGAAACAGCCATCTAAAGCCTTCGCTTCAAACAAAACTCGCATGGGAACCTGCACTGGCATTTACACCTCAAACCAGAATGACTTGCATTGACTAAGATCCATTTTGGCTTGCACTTGCTTGGATCTTTAGGCAATTGCGAGGAATTTAAATTTTCCAGAGTTACAAATATAAAATCTCCAGAGTACCCCATCATCAGCACTCCAAGCAAGCAAGCCTTTTTCAACACACACTGTATTAAAGACAATGTAACCGAATGTTTGGTAAGGTTTTGGCTCAGATCACCTTCCAAGCTTTAATTCAACTCCCCCAAATGCTTCAGAAAAATAATGATCAAAAATGACATTGTCAGGGGCCCATCAAGACAGGTAGCGCTCTTGCCCACGGCAAACCTTCCCAGGGGCTAAGTTTTGGGGGCTTTTGGCAATTTCTTCTCTTTAGTTCCGATTGTAGTTCAGTGTAAAGCTGCCACGTGCAGCTTCACAGGGCCCCATTTAAGCGTTAACAGGCGTGTAAGTGTTAACAGGCTTAAGGCTGTCACACAGATCTTCAGTTAGAAACCTCTCAAGGTTTGTATTCCCTGCAGGATACTGCTGCCCTGCCATAGCACCAGCCATACTGGTCACCGGAGATCACCATAATTGAGAGCTGTAAGTTTTGACTCTGGGTGCACGCATAGGTGAAAAACAGGGGACATGCTAAAAGAAAAAAAAAACCAACAAAAACCCCTCCAAAAACCAAAATACCCCTTCTATCAGACCATTACTGCAGATTTGATCCAGCAGTTATCCAGAAAATATTAAGCGCTTCAGTGATGATCAGATCTCCAAGGAGCAGACTAGCATCTTTGGTCTGCAATCGGGTTTTAATGAATATATACTTTCAACAGCCCACTAATATACAGTCTGTTGCAACTGCCTAATGATGAAATCACCTTGGATGTCTAGGTCTGCAGTGTTTACACCATCAACCAAGCTCTGGCTGGATAATGAATAAATAATTGTACTGAAGCACTTTTTTCCAACTCTGGTACAGTGTGAGGGTCACGATAGCAAGCCAGGGCCCAGCCCCACACTGCGTATCCTGGTCGACCCTGGGACACCCCTTCTCTTCAGAGGAAGAAGGCCCCGTGTCATAGTCTTCCCCACCAAGACTTACTACCCCACGGCAGCAGGAGAAAGAAACACAACAATCCTGCCATCTAAATCTGAGCAGGTGTTAACTAGCAGAACTGAGTTGCTCTCACTTTCTTGGTGAGCAACACCCTTCACGAGGTGGTGACAAAGAGCCCTGGATAAAACAAGCACGTGAACGGGAGTAGGTATGGATCCTCTAAGTGTCCCGGCTGGCTCCACGTGCGAGTATTAGTTTTGTGAGAGCTCATTCCTGCCACGGTGCTGTGTGCAAGCCAAAGAGCTTTGGAGTGAGAGAAACTACCACGAGACAAGTTAGTGTCATTAAAAAGAAAGGAGAAAAAAGCAAGGAAAAAACCAACATAAAAAGGTAATTGTGATTATTTTTTTTAAAGCAAAATAAAATATATTATGTGCAGGTGGAAGGGGAAGGAGAAGGATGGGGAAGAATGCAAAGCCAAGGAAATACTGTAGTCTTATCTATAACAAGGGAAGAATTTGATCAGAACTGGCGAGGCTTAAAGCAGCTACTGATTTTTCAGGACACTGCAAAAAAATCAACACTGATGGAAAAAAATATCAATCAATCATTCTCTTTCATTGGTATAAGGGGAAAATTGATGCAAACTGAGCAATTAGTTAGCAGCTGGAGGTCTTCACCTTTATCTCCTTGAAGAAGGAAGCTGTTTCACCCTCGATAATTGGCTGCAGCAAAGGGCTTCTCCGCTTGCTGGAGGGGGAACCCTGTGACAGGTGTTAACAAGTATGTTACATTATGAACCCCTTTCTCCTCCACCACCTGCTCTCAGCTCATTCTCACCCACACATTCACTCTCAGCTCATCGCTGGACCATCAGGAAAAATCCATTTCTTAAAGAAGAAAAAACATGGCTGGCAAACGCCCTGAACCAGAAGGATGCTTAGCAAGGGACATCACTGCCGAATTGTTTTAAGAAAAAAAAATCTTGCATGCTGGAATACTAGCTGAGCAGGAATTACCAAGTAAAGGCTCCAACAAACTAATTCTCAGCCTGGGGCCTATATGCACACACAATTCTCAGCTGGCTCTCCAGAGCTACGGTGTAAGCCTCCCTAGACTCTCCAGGCTTGCTTTTTCCAGGAGCCTGATTTCCCACTGAAGTGCCTAAGGATGTAGAGATGGATTTTCAAATGTATCCTGCCTCTGTACAAGTCTCTCAGTCCTCACTCAAAGGGTGGGGAAAGCCAGTCTTGTCTCTCCTCTGTTAGCCACTGTGCAATTCTAGTTCTGTGTCTAAACAGGACGTAAGCTCTCTTTTGAGAGCTGTGCATTAAACTGCCTGTGCACAGCTATGTGGTTTCTCCCTTCTCAATTGCCAGCACCCTCTTCACAGCACACATTTTGGGGAGAACTTCGCATATTCAAGGAAGAACAGCTTTTTTGTTTTAAATGCAGGACCACCTCATGTAATTTGCAGAAAAAACTCTGCCACTTCTCAGTTTGACTGCACTGGGTAATGCTCTACCAGTCCGTTCACTTCACTGGCTGTCTACAAAAAGTGGCCAGGACGTAAGCGCTGCTTGGAAACAGCAAATAAAGTAAAGGATCATACATAACGGAGTAAACAGGAACCACAATAAAACAATTCTCTTTCAATAGATAGGCTAGAAGTACCTTGTGTGTACTTTTTAGATCAAATCATCTTTAAAAACTGGCCTACGCCAGCTGTCTAGAATTAGAGAGAGTGCATTTGCTCCCTAGAGGGGAGCATTGGGATTCTTTGCTGGTGGCAGTGTCTCCTTGCCAAAGCACCACGTCGCATGAGGGAGTATCCACCACTTGCAGGATTCTCTTGAATACAAATGAAGTGTTGAGACACTGTTGGCCCTTCCTCTCATCCAAGCAGACTGGCATCTCCTGTGGGACCCTGTGTTCCTGTCATACAATCCTGTGTAACCAAGCAGTGTGGAAGACCTAGAGCTTAGAGTGGATTGGTAAGAAAAGGGAAGTGAGGCTGTAGCCAAACACAAGATGATGAAATAACAGCAGCAGCCCAATGGAAAGAGGAGAAATGACACAAGGTGAGATGTGCCCCATGGCTCAGAAGTGGGCACTAGAGACCCTTGACCAGCTTTGCCCAACTTTAGTACATGGTGTGTCATTGATTCACTCATTTGCTTGGTCTTTGAGTGATAACAGAGGTTGTGACTTGGCCTCAGTGATGGTGTTGTATGCCAAAGTGTGGTGATCCTTCTTCCTCAGCTTGAAATCAAACAAACAGCCCCCAAAAGAATGCTCTACTTACAATGATAGGGATGGTGCTGGCTCTGGAGAGGATCTGCTTGACCAAGCGATACCTGTCATACAACGGCTTCATCACCTGTCGTTCATTTTTTGTAACCTGGAAAGGAAAAAGAAGCGAGATCCATGAAGCCTGCAGCAGATACTCCACCCTATAATGCACATGCCAGTGACCGCTGTTAGTCAGAGGGGGCTTGAAGGGAATTTCATGAGGATGACAGGTTAGCAGCATTAGCCCCGAAACCAGTAATGAAAGTGCTTGTGTACATCTCTGCACCTCCTGTCCCAGGTGCCAGATGAAGCAGCACCCAAATCATTGGGTGTCTTGTTGCGTGGCTGTATGAGACACGTGATTTAAATGACCAACTTAGGTATTACATGTCCACAGCACAAAATGACCCTCAGAGGCAGCAGTCTGTGCTTATAGTCACGTCTACCAATTTAAGCACATGACGTTTCCCACCCTTATTCTCACGGCTGGGACCTCAAAGGCAATGTTTATGAACTACGGAAATAGCAAGGAGCTGCAATGACTGGATACTGCAATGTGAGGAGACTTTCCCAGGGTAGGTTAAACTAGAGATTTCACAAAAGCTGACTTTCCAACTTGGCTATTCCTCCTAATTTCCTTTTTAACCCCTTAACCTTGCTCTCCATCCCTCCTCCCAGCAACCCGGCAGTAGAGAAGTTACCACAGAGCTGAGAAGGGATGAAGGTGCCAGGGCTGCATGGCACAAAGCAGGCAGACTAGTGCTGTGCCCACCTGAAGCCTTCCTTACGTTGTTCTGTCCCTAACTCCACTCCTCCCAGCTGCATGTCGCGCTTCCTCCTCAATTCAACAGTTTTACAAACTGCGAGTGTCAATTTCTGTTTTTCTTTCAGCTCCAAGTTAAATCAAAAATCTCAGTAGCAGTGACAGTGCAAAAGAAGGGAAGACCTAACAGGCACTAGCTAGCGTGGGAAAGCAAAGGTCTGTCCAACTAAGCACTTGTGAGGAAGCTGAGGTTTATTTCTTCAATGTTTTGTTATATTAGGGTTAGAAAGCAAACAAACAAAACACTCAGCAGAACCAATTTTATGATCTTTCTTTGTGTCCAGCACTGTCCAACCCACAACATACAGCTGTCCTTCCAGGAGATCTTTGTCTAGCTTTAGATTATAAAGCTCTTCAGAGGGAAAGCTTTAACTGATTCTAATGTCATGCCTATCTTTCTCAAGGCTTTTTACAGCTGCTAATCACCAGAGCATCTCAAAAGCTACCACATAAAAATCAACATCAACACTGTAACCCCTAGAGAGCTTTGTACAGTTTCCCTTTCTGCATTAGAAATAGGAGGAAAGGCAATACAGCTTGAGACAGGGAGGAAAATGTAAAATGAACTGTCTTTCATTTTGTCCAGTTGACTGACTGGAGTAAGCTTTCTAAAGCTTTCACATCCTCCCTCTGGAGCAGGAGAAGGTGTTGGATTGCAAGAGGCAGAGGAGTAAATCTTGCCAGGAGTGGGAATGGCAGGGATGAACTCTACGAATCTGGAGGTAGCAGCTTCCTCCTGATAATCAAGCCTATTTCCTATGCTGGGGGCAGACAAATAGGGAAGAAAAAGGGAAGACTTTTTTTATTCCTTCCTGGGTTCGATGCAAACATCCTCAAGCCTTACAAGGGGCATATAGATGGGCAGTTCGAGCTCTAAGGCCTGTGCGTCCCACACCTCCAGAGTACAGTCCGGCTCCGACACCTGGCAGCCTCAAGCTGGCTGTTTGTTGAGTAAGCAGCTCGCAGGGATTAGAGGGACGTGAGCAGCACCAAATAATTCGCTCAGCCCTCGCTGTGTCGAGTTCCACATTCAATTGCACTGGCTCGCAAGTTGCCTCCAGCTTTGGATGTTTCTCTGCAACCAATCAAGCATACAACTGGAAAAAGCGGGTAGCCACTATGTTATATGTTATGTTACACGTTACGTGTTCATGCTGCGTGTTACGCATTATGTTATATGTTGTGTTACGTGTCACATGTTGTGTGTCACGTGATTTGTGCTACATGCTACATGTTGCATGTTGCATGTTGTTACACGTTGCGTGTTATTGCTAGCTTTACTAGGTTAGCAGTTAGTAGAACAGGAGGCACAGCACTACTGCTGGCTCAGACAGTCTCTGTCAGTTAGTACAAAAAAAAAAAAAAAGACTAGGCTGAGGCTTATGCTGAGAACCAAACCTTCAATTAACGATACTTCAAAGTCAATAAATCATAGAATCATAGAACCGTTTAGGTTGAAAGAGACCTTAAAGATCATCTGGTTCCAATCCCCTGCCATTGGCTGGGACATCTCCTGCTAGACCAGCTTGCTCAGAGCCCCATCCAATCTGACCTTGAACACTGGTAGGGATGAGGCATCCACAGCTACTCTGGGCAACCTGTTCCAGTGTCTCACCACTCTCACAGTGAAGAGCTTATTCCTAATATCTAATTTAAATCTGCTCTCTTTCAGTTTGAAACCATTACCTCTTGTCCTACCACTACACACCATGATAAAAGAGTCCCTCCCCAGCTTTCCTGTAGCCCTCTTTAAGTACTGCCAGGCCACTATAAGGTCTCCCTGGAGCCTTCTCTTCTCCAGGCTTAACAACCTCAACTCTCTCAGCCAGTCCTCATAGCAAAGGTGCTCGAGTCCCCTGATCATCTTCATGACCCTGCTCTGGATCCACCCCAACAGGTCCATGTCCTTTTTATGTTGGAGGCCCCATTGCTGGACACGGGGCTGCAGGAGAGGTCTCACAAGAGCAGAGCAGAGGAGGTGAACCACTTCCCTCAGCCTGCTGGCCACGCTTCTTTTGATGAAGGTGATTGGCTTTCTGGGCTGCGAGCGCACATTGCTGGCTCTTATTCTGTTTTTCACCCACCGATACCCTCAAGTCCTTCGCCACAGAGCTGCTCTCAATCCACTCATTGTCCATCCCATATTTGTGCTTGGGATTTCCCCAACCCAAGTGCAGGACCTTGTTGAACCTCGTGAGGTTTGCATACACATATAGCACTATTCTGTACTGAAAAATAAACATAAGCCTTGGAATGGGCAAAAAATCCGCAGGTATGTTAAAAAATGGAAAAAATAAACGGCACGCTTCAGTATCTGAATATCAGTATGGAAGAAGGACACAGAGGATTAATTTAGGCATTGGAAGTTGAGTGTATGGGGCCCAAGTCCGGCCTTCAAACTTACAATAGGAACACTTAACAGAAAGCAGATTCTGAAAGAAAACATTTAGCACATGGGCAAACTGTCTCACTAAGTAACACTGGCAACACCTGAGTATATTTTGGGAGAATGTCAAAATGCAAAAAGACTGTTGGAATGATGGAGCCTTTGACACAACTCTGGGGCACGCTCCACATGGCAGAAGAGCAGCAGCTGAGGAACAGACCATCGCTTGCATTGTTAGAGCAGCCTGAGAATTTCTGCAAAGATGGACTTTTTGGCCTAACTAAAACAGTTCAGTTCCACCTTTGCAGGTTCATCTATCACTGGTGCAGAAAGACCCAGTGGCACAATAAATCTGAGCTCCATTGTTTTTCTTGTTTAGTTAAATATCTTTAAGAAAAAAAAAAACACTTGGCTGAACTATCTCCATTCTCCTCAAGCTCTCAGTACTTTTCCACCGCTGCAGTGCCAGGAGCTGGGAACAGCAAAAGCTGATCAGCTGCAGTCTTCTTTGCCATGCAGTTCAGTGTTGCTAGGTATAGACTGCTTACTTAAAAACAAATTAAAAAGCAGTCGTATAAATAAAGCATAAGATAGGGGAAGGAAAAAAAATGGTATGTTGTCAGGCTGACAAGCCAGGCTCTGGGCTTGCTCCCTTTTCAAACAGATTTAAGCAAGTTCACTTCAACGAGATGCCACCTGTTGACTTATATCATTGCAAAAGCAGCAAAGGCAGACTTGGTCTCATGGACAAGACAGGGAAGGTTAAGGGGATTCCCCTGTGCCAGCCTTTTGCTATTTTACACAAGAATAAAACTGCATGTCCTCTCCTAAAACTACCCCGTTTTCAGGTGCTGGTATACATGACTCTACAATATTAGCACTTCAGGAAGGCATTTAAACAAATTAGCGAGACTTTTTTTAAACAACAAAGGAGGAAATAATTCAGGAGCAAAAGGAAGGAAGAGATCAGGAATCCCCTGCATAGAATGACAGATTTGGCAGCTGCACTAATCAACTACTCTTTATAAGCAGTAATTTGCTGCTTCCAAGCCACTGCTCAAGGAATTAGCATCACTCTGAAATTGTTACTTTACCTACACAGCTGGCAGCAAAGATCAGTGGAAGAGGAGGGATTCATACAAAGCCAACTTGGTGGCCTAGAAACCACCGTGTTTCTGCCACGGTAAGGATCGATAGGACAGAATACCTAATTCTCTGTCTTCACACATATTTTTTTTTGTTAAGATCAAATATGCAAGAAATCTCATGAACATGGGAAAACACCTGTTTCTCAGAGGAAGAATGAAATCTCCTCTCAATTTATGCTGTGATGCTGAGGATGCGAAGTGTTTCGTGAATCCTTTGGCACAAGAGGATTGTGCAAATAGCAGGGTGCAGGTGACTCCCTGCAAACAGCAAGGTGCCAGGACAAACACACTGCATCTCCTCTAAGGAGGAGCAATGTATGCACACCTGTCTTCCTAGTTAGCCATTAACACTAGCAAACTCCAAAATTCCTGGCTGGATGAGGGACTACACACAACTTGTCCCCATAGACCATATCCCCGGCAAAGCTGGTGAGCACGCCAGGCCACAAACTGGATGCCTGTGGATTCCAGTGAGTTTGATGTCAAAAAAATGCACATTCAGCTGTAGGGTCGGTCCTACAGATAGGTGCCAAGGCCAGCACTGCGGGCAGACATCACCTCGCTGAGAACAGACTCCTCGGAAGCAGCAGTAGTGAAGGATCAGGGAGATGGATTAAGAGGATGCACACATGGTTTTAACAGCAAGAAGTTCTAGTGACTGTGACATCAAAGGAGCATTAAGGGGATCATTTACCACAGACAAAGACATATAAAGATGTACTTCTGAAAAAACACTGCTGTACCTACCGGTCTGCCATGAATGCTTTCGTAATACAGCAAAGCTTTTTGAAGAGCCACTTTTTCAGCTGCTATCTGATCTCTTGTCATGTCCTACGAAAAGTGGCACAGAGAGAGAGGGGGAAGAAAAAAAAGTCAAATTCCTGGACTCAAACATACTGATTTGAGGCCTAAACAAAAGTCATGTCATTTTTTCATTATTGAAGACTCACTTCTGCCTTCCAGTCCTCTTTTCCCAGCTATAGTGCCAAAGAGACTGTTAATGGGAGTGGCACCCTACACACATTGCAGGCAGATTAAAGTCATATCATCTTTGCATACGAAGGCATTTTATGTACCTAAAGGGTATTTACAAATTATCAGTGTGCTTTGAATAAACAACAGCACACAACTTCTAATGACAGTGGCTCTTCTTCAGCTAAGATCCGAGGCGTAAACTCTACTCATTCTCTCTTTTTCTCCAAATCTGAGACAAGCTCCAGTAGCTCTTCTAAAGTCTGCCACCTTTGCTTTGACTGTCACAAATACACTTTACCAAGAACTGAAGTGCAGTCAGACCATCTCCTTCTGCCAATGCTGCTATGCAATGAAAAGCTCTGGCAGACATGCTGAGGGGGCCAAGCCAAAAAGAGGGCAAACAGTTGGAGAAGGCTTTCCTAACTAAGTTTGCCAGAGCTCCTCCACTGAACTTGCCTGACACCAAGCCTTCTCCCCGCTGTCACAGGCCCTCTTTAAACAGCCAGGCTGTGGATTCTTGCTACTGTCAGAAAACAGCCAAGCACACTTCGTGTATCTTCTTCTTCTGTAGATCTAGTAAACAAAGATAACGCTGTCTGCCCCTCTCATTCAAAGCACTGCATAATTTACATGTCAGCAGACTCAAGGACTTCACTTACAAGGCTGCTCAAGCCTCAGGAACCAGCACATCAGACACAAAGACCTCCCTGCTGATAACCCTCAGAGATTACAGCAGCTAATAGATCTCAGCGTGAAACTCTGAAGATAAAATGCCCGGTGAGAAGAGCATTCAGCTTTGGAGTGAACTAGCAGAAAACAGATGACCCAATCTCCAGGATCACTGGAAGACTTAGAATTTGCAAAGCCTTTGTACATAGGAACATAAATAGCCAAATACAGGGCAGGAAACATTGCAATAATTCAGAAACATTACTTGAAGCATACAAGGATCAGAAAAAGAACACACAATGATGTTCAATTGAAACTGGGTTCTAGGAAAAAAAAAATCAGATACTAAAGGCAGAGGGAAAGAAATTGAGGCAAGTGAGCCAAGAGTAAAGATTAGAAACTTTGTGACAACAGGTCTTTGCAGAAGACTGCAGGGCTTTCACTAGGGACCCTCCAGCTACAAATTACCTGCTTGTACTTAAAGGACTAAATCTGACCTGCCTACACCGTACCTTAATATCTTCAGGTCGGTTCGTCTCTGTTCGTTTTTCTTGAAGCTTCTTCTGGATAGAATCAAGGGTCACTTCCACAGCAGGCTTGGCAGATTTATCTGACAGGTCTTGTTTCTTGTCATCGTCCTTTTCAAGCTGAGAACCGAAGCTCTTGGGGAGCGTATTGCTCCGCTGACGCACAACAGGGCCAAGGTCCTCCTCCGATATCTTCAGTTTTGACTCTGAACAGGAACATTTGGGGGAAGGTGAATATTTTTTCTTTTATAAAATATGACAGTGATAGGATTGCTGCCTAACATCAAATTTAAACGAAGCAGAGTCCAGCTGCCCCCTGAAGGTGCACCAGTGGTGGCTGCTCACCTTTAAGCTGCTTTCGAAATTTGGCCAAATCGTTTGTCCACTTGAGCACTTCAGGGTTGGCTGCTTTGTCGCTGTGAGAAGGCTAGGAGGAAAGAACAGTCATGCTCAGTCTGTGTTAAACCAACAGGAGAGACCCACTGAGACAAACATGTTTCACAAAAAGAGGTACAACAGAATTTGGACCCAGGGCACTGGCTTCTGCCTGGCACCTGCATACCTCTGACCAGCTCATTGCTTTAACTGCTCCTGCCTGTCACAGCACTGTCTCGCAGGGGCATCTGAGTTTGATTTTCTTTACAAAACCCAAAAATTTGTCACGGTACTCAATTAAGTAGCAGGAGTGACTCAGAGGGCCAGACACACATCAGAATCCTTGTGCCTATTGTTTCCTAGCAAGAGGGCACCTCCAAACCAGAGGAATCTTACCAAGAGCAGTCTGAGTAGTGTTAGGATGCATGTATCCAAAACAAAGGCTGCCTTACATCCAAAGACACCAAAGCAACCGAAATGCTAGGCTGCAGCAAGCTCTGGGCATTTTTTCCAGTCTTTTCCACCACAGGCAAGATCCCTTCAGTACAATCCGTTGTGGTTTAGATCATCAACAAAGACGCACACATGCAAAGCTTTAGTTCCTTAAAAAGCTTTCTGCACATCGGAAGGGCATGTCAGGAATAATTAGAGTACAGTACACTGCTACCGCTCAGCAGCACTTCACTGTGGCTCCTTGCTCAGGAGGAAAGGCGGCTGCTCTCTCTCCTGTGCAACGCACTGGTGTCCTGGGATTACCATAATGCAAATGAGATGTGCAGTTATGCTTCCTATAAACTGAACTTGAGTAAATAAACAAACACAAGTTTAACACAGCTGTTCCTACACGCTGAGCCTGTGTTTTTGGCAAAATGTCTTAAGCAGCGATTAAAATCCTCTGAGTTTATTAGGCTCTCTCTTGTGCTGCACTGATAGTATAGGAAATGTCTAGAAAGGTATGGATGTACATTTTATTTTTTGGGGGGCAGCAGCTTTTTTCATTTCTTCCTTTTTTTCCCCCTTATAAAAGCTTTCAGGCCCTCTGTAGGTTTGACAGACTTCCTTCATGTCCCTTCCCTTTGCTGCTAAGGCATAACTCTCCATACAAATGTTTAACTCCTAGAGACTCACTCTGTATTTCCTCTCCTCTTCGAATTTGTCCTCAAATCTCCTGATCTTTTTCTTCAGCCCCTGTATTCTCCGGGTGAGCTGTGCAGGGGTAAGGTCCTCTCTGTCATCCTCATAAGATCCCAAAGATGAACTCCGCCTCCTATCAAGAGCAGAGATTGCAGCAAGAGCTTATTCAAACAGCCACAGTACATCTTCCTGCAGAGAAGGCCACTTAAACTTTGTGTAAATAAAGGCAAATCCCACAGAAGTGAGAAAACTATGTTGCTAACTCTGCAATGACAGATAGCAAAAAATACTGTGACAGCCTCTTTCAGCCAAAGCAGCAACCTAGATATTAATTCACAAACCCAGAAATGATCGGTTACCAACACCTCTTCTAAAAAGTTTCTCATCAGGAGAAACAGAAACCCAACACAGCCCAGCTATCCGGCATGTGCAATCCAAAGAGATGTTGCCTGATGCAACTGTACAAACCATTTACAACTGGCTGCAAGAGTCAGCATAGGCAAATCACAACTCACCTCATGAAGGGATGCGCATTGGGAGGGGAAGGAGGCACTTCTGGATCATCCAGATACTGTTGGCTCTGTCCATAGGCATAGAAGCGAGGGGACAGCATGGGATCACTGTCCTCATCCAGGAGCTGGCGAATTAAGCGACCGGCCTGCGGGGAAAGGCGAGCCTCATCTGAGTCTAAGCCGTCTCGCTGCCATGAGGAAAGAGCAGGGATGGGCTCTGGGAACAGTAAGACAAAGGCTGGTTTTATCGTTTTTGTTTTACAAGTACGACAGACTCCAGGTAACTTTTCTAAAGAACCCTGACCCATTTGTCCCGGAATGCGATTCCCTGTCGCCAGGTATTTTCTGGGCCGTTACTTGCATCTGCCCAGTGTGCAAAGCAATGTGAAGCATGGCCTGGCCATGGTGGGTACTCTGCACAAACATAAATAATCTCCTAGGTGCAACAGAAAGCTGTACCCAAAAGTTGGCCATTAATTACCATGGACTGACACCAAATGAGGCAATGACTAGCCAGCACCTTTGAGGAAAAAGTTACGCTGGACAAGAGAGAATTACTGGCACACTGCAGTATAAAAGAGGCACCTGGATTAGAAGAGGATTTTTTTCAGTTTCAGGACGTATAAATGCCGTAAATTAAAAACATACTAATTGTCCTCCCGTAGTCTCCAGCACTCCAATACAACCCTGCTGCCCGCTATTGCAAATTCAAACACTACGAGTAAGCATAGGTTCTTCTAGTCTCCAAGGAAAAGGTGTCTCTTTACTACCTGCTTCACGGGGTGCCTAGTCTGTAAATTAACCATGACGGTAATGTGGTGTGAGTTTGCCCTTTCTCTCCTTCACATGCAATCCTGCTGCTTAACAGCACGGTAGAAAAGCAAGGAAATCTTCAGCCCCCTGGATGATCTAACCAGCTGAAAGTAAAAGCAATGTTCTACAGGGAGATGGTGGAGTGGGAGAGAAAGGGAAACCCAACTTAGCATTACTGATTAGCATAGCGGAGCCCACGGAAAGCAATCACCTCAATCTTGTGATCACTCCCTCCAGATGCCATAAGGAGTCTAACGTATTGTGTTCAGATAGTTTACTAAGCTGATTTGCATGCTCCTACTTAGCACCACAGGATTAGACAGTTTAAGAGCCAGGCTTTGAACTTATAAATCTAACAAATAGTTCTAGAGTCAAGTAACAAAACAAAAACTTTATAGAAAGCTTGTAGACCAGTCGCAGAGCTATGGACTCTTTATTTCTCCTGCCTAGTGTGTCTGCTCTTCTCCCATGAAGAGAAGGGGCTTTTGAACTTATCCATTTCCGAATAAAAAGCAGTATTTCCCTTTGCCAAACAAGGTTAACATTTTCACAGCTCAGAATGGATTGCATGAGGGCTTCCTTAAGGAATCTCTATGCTGTTTAACTTCCCCTCCCACGCACAATCCGGAGAGCGCAAGATCATCCACAGGTCAGTAATGACAGGCTCAGTGATATTCTTCCTGCACGCAGTGTCAAAACGATGCTCTCCTCCTCCCTTCTTCCCTAACACATGAATATAAAACAGCATATAAACCTCTGCTTAGAGGTTGGTGCTGCATGGAGACCGATGTGTTGCTCTGAAAAGGATGGCGGGAGGTTTTTGCAGAAAAGCCTCTCACAGGTGGTGTGTGATAAGCGAAACACAGAAAAACCTGGCTCACAGAGGCTACTTCGATGAGGTGTGCAAGCCCCACGTGTACGTAGGCTGTTATGCCGTGGATCGAGGAAGCTTATGCAGCCTGCAGTTCGCTCAGTTAATTTCTGGAACAAGAGGGTGTTTTTTTTAAGCTGCGTTCAACCTTAGCAGTTCCTAATACCTGAAATATTTTGCTCTAGGAATCTGTTAAGAAGGAAGGTGAAACGAAGGGCAAACCCTTCAGCCAAACTGCGACACTTTGGGTGTTGCACACTTCCTTGAATCTCTCACGGTTTCAGGAGGGTCCTCGCAAGTTCTTAGTAGCAAAAGAAAGGCT